CCTGTGGCTTCCAGGATTCCTGCCAGTCTGGGATTTTTGCTTAAATTTTCACAATGGCTGGGATACTGAGACAGCCTATAAAATCTAGGACTGTCCTGGCCAATCCAGGATAGTCACTCTACTCATGGATGATTTTGCTGGGTAACTAATCACTCCTGAGAGGATCTAATGCTTTTGTTAACAATATTATAACTACCTTTGCCATTGTCTCTGTCATTCTGCCTTATTACTTTGTGGGTATCTAATGGAAGACATTTTGTTCTCAAATTCCTTTGTGGGGCAGAATAATTTTAATTTTTCTGTAGCATACTGTGGTCCATTGTCTGAAGACAGTGTATCAAGAACATGTTCTAATTTTATGGATTACAGGTCTTGGGTGAGTGTCTTTCCCACTGTCCACCTTCCAAAAACTGGAGTAGTAATCTACTGAGACACTGTAATTCCCCTATGTACTCCATCACGGACCTGAGGGTGGCTATTGCCTGACAGCAAACTTTAAAAAACAGATTTGAATGGGAAATTGCAGAGCAGAAAATCATCCACTGACTGGATTGTGCTAAGTATAGTTTAAATAGGGGCTGTGGTTTCTTATCCCAGTACCTGAGTTAGCTTTGGTGACTCCAGGCAAGCGGCACCACATTCATGTATATGCACATGGCTGCCAGGCAGCCTGGAGCACAGCATCATCTGGTAAATGGGGGCAGATTAGAAAGGGCAGGGGCTGGGGATGCTGCTCAGCTGGGCAGTACCTGGGGCTTGGGGACAGGACCTCAATGTGCAGTGGCATGGCCCTGGAAGGGAGTAGGACAGGGATAGGGGCAGCTCATGTGGGGGTAGGGGGCTGGCTCCCCACTGCTGTGCACATTCCCAGGGGGCAGGGGAAACCCTGCCCCCCAGATTTGCATGTGGGGCACAGGTGTAGGCTGCCTGCTTCAGGCTCAGACTCCAGCCCCGCTGACCTCCTTTGGGGCTTCCGCAGTCCAGTGTGTGTGATGCGTAGGTGCAAAAAACAGTAGGGCCATGCAAGAAAGCTGCTTGCTGCTGCAAAATCCACATGACCCTGGTGACACATCCCCTGCGCCACTGCCCCTACTGTAGCCATGCATGCAGGGGATGCATTGCCTGCATGGCCCTGCTGTTCTTTGCAGCAGTGGGTTGTACACACTGGGCTGTGGAGGCCCTGGGGGAGGGCAGCAGGGTGGGAGCTTGCAGCAGGTACTGTGCAGCCTCTGCCCCATGCACAGATCTGGGGGGCATGGGTCCCTCCTGCCCCCTGAAAGCATGTGCCACAGTGGGGAGTCACCCCTCCCCCCAAGCCCACGGCAGGCAAGCAGGGACGGAGGATCCAGGCTCTGTTCCGCTGCTGCCTCCTGCCGAGGGGTGGGGTTGGGGGTCTGTGGGAGGCCTTTTAATCACAGAATTTGTGGGTTTTTTAATCAAAAAAAATTGTGATTTTTTTTTTTTTTTATCAGGGAAAACCAGGATCATTGGTGATAAATCACTGCAGACAGACAAAACAGGAGTGGAAGAACTGACATTCTTAGGAACTCTAAGGATGCTTCTCTCTATACCCTCCCCCCAGCAGTGAATGTCTGACTGCTGCTCGTGCACCATGCATCCCTGCATACTACCACCTCTCAGAACACAGTACTGGCCATAGAATATACAGAAAGGAAGAAACCTGTGCTGTAAATTCCTGCACGTCTGCAAGTGCTCTAATACTTGGTATGTCTCTATCTTGCCATGCTTCATGTAATCCCTGGTAAAAATGGTATTTTGGTGTTGCATGACAAGGGACTTCACATGGCCATGGTAGCTGCTGGGTATAAGGCTTGTGAAAAACCTTCCTAAGGACAGGGTGGGCAAAATATGGCCCATGGGCCAGATCCAGCCTGCAAAGGGATTCTGTCCAGCCTGCAGCAGGTCCCCTGGCCGCCTCCACCCCAGGTCTGGTGGCAGCTTGGGTTGTGGTGTATGTGGCCGATCCCACTTCCCCCAGAAGTACAGTGGGTTTGGGATGGCATGGCAGCCAGACTCGCTTCCTGGCAGCCCTGGCAGCGGCACCTCCACCCTGCTGTCTGGGCACCCTGGCTCCCCAGCCCCGCACCCACTGCTGGGGGCAGGACCCATGCAGGCAGGGTGCACAGGAAGCAGTGTTCAGAAGTAGGATGGAGAGGTGAGGCTGGGATCACAAGGCAGGATGGTGGGGCAGTGACAGCGTGGGGCCAGGGCCCAGGGCAGAGCTGCAATCCACTCCCCACATGTCTCTGTTGGTGGAAAATGCACCCATTGCAGGGGCGTGCAGGCAGTGGGTCATAGCTCTGCTCTGGCCCCACGCTGTCACCACCCTGTGATCCGAGCCCCAGCCCTACACACCTATCTCGCTTCTGAATGCCACTCCTCACCCACCTGTGGCCCCATCCCAGCCACCTGGCCGAGTTGGGAGCAGAGTTGCTTAATTCTGGTGAGCTGATCCATGGAGGGTTCTGTTGAACTGGCTTGCAACAGCTCACCAAAACTCCCAATGTGGACCTGGGGCCCAAATAATTGCCCATCCCTGTTCTAGGAGCTAAAGATGACACAGATTTAAATGTCTATGGGTAGGCTTACTTCAGATCTCTGTGAACCAGTTCGCCCTTATGGTGCTACCTTTTCTTACCTTTGGCATAATTACAGACTAACATAGCTAACTGCTGCTCTCTGCTAAGTCGTGGTAACTCAACTCTATTTTATTCAGGAGTAAGCTGTCTCAGATCCATTTTTGGCAGGATGGAAGGAAACAGATAAAACATTTAAAGTAGATTCAACAGGAATTCTTTTTCCCTTTGAACAGTAAAATTGTCCTGCAGTCCATGCCTACAATATTTTCTTCTAGGCTGATTCTCCCTGCAGAGAGGGAGACCTATAATTTCTTCAATAATTCAAAGTCCCTGGGGTGGACAGAGATTCCCACACTGGAGCTGTAGTGTCTGGCAGACAAACTGAGGCTTGCTGGCATAGGGAGTTACTTCAGGGCAACCTTAGTCTGTTTCTTGGGACAAGTGACAGCACTGTGGAGACACTAGGGGCTCTAGGGACCCTCTGTGGATGGGTCTGTGAGCCATCACCTCTTTTTGCTGCCAACATGCTTGCTGAGTGGCCAAAAAATATAAGTTTTGGCAGTAAACTACTGGTGGCTGCTCCAGCACTGCACACTACTGTTGCTTCTCTACCCTCTCTATTACCAGAGCCAGCTGTAGCCTTCAGCTACAGGGAAGATGCAGGGTGTAGGAGGGAGGGTAGGCAGGGGGAGAGTGGGAGGTTGAGATGCCCCCCATTGGCCCATTCTGTTTACCACCGCCTCCCCCCCCCACTTTCCCTCGTAACCCCCTTAGGTAACATCTGGGGCTTGTGCCTGGCTCATCCACTCATGATTTTGCTGCTATTCACTTGTAGGCATAGGTGTATGGGAGTACCCTGCAGCCTACCCCACAATCAATATTGTACTTCACCCCCTTTATACCTTCCAAGAGAGAACAACGCAGGAAGACTTGTACAAGAGCACTTTTACTGAGTTCCCTTGCCCAGAATTCATGCCTTCTGAATTTTCACAGAAGAAAGATATCTGGCTGAGAACTTAAACATCTTACAGTATCTTAAATCTCTTTTACAAACTTGAGGGACATTTAGAGTGGAAGATAAAAACCATTTCTGTCACTTCACCAGTAACAAAACAAAATTTGTGTAAGGCTGAGCCTGTTTTACAGTTTTGATGTATGCAAAGCGCAGTGAGCCAAAATACTGGTATTTGGACAAGTATATTACACCAGCTGAAAACGGGGCCCACTATATATTATGAGGGCAAATTGTAATGATTTCAGAAGTTTGTTGGGAAATTATGATTTTAATAAAGTAATGGAGGAAAGATATATAGTACCTCCCCTGTTTATATATCATAGTACTCTGAAAGCAGTGAATAACATATGCAAGTGCTTCTACTGAAGAATGATTGTCTCTACCAAATGCTCCAATTAGAGTTTGTATTTTTTATTCCACTTGTTAACTTGGTAAGTCAAAAATATGAGATACATCAAAAGAACAGTATGCTTATCTTTACTGAGAATTTGGATTAGTGTATATGTAAACCATCCTGTCTTAAATTTTTGGTGCATCCAGGATTAGCAAAACAGAAAGATACCTGGTAAAGTATCACAGTACTTCACCCTGAAAAGTTGTGCTTGTATTATTTAAATATTTTGATTTCCTTAAAAAAATACAATGGAAGGAGACTAGCTTAGCTATAGGTTTCGACATTTTTTAAAATATAATTTTTATTCATTATAGATCCAACTATTTCCTCAAACACCTTCAGGAAACAAAATGACATAGTAGGAAAATAAATTCACCGTCACAATCACAGCTGTCCCCAACTCAAAACATTCGGAAGTTAGAAACATTTTTTTCAGTATGCATATATTTTAGCATTTTTAAGTAATTTCAAACAAAGAGGAATAAGAAAGCACAGACCATGGTAAACACACAGTTTGCAAGCTCCTATTGCAGTAAATCAGCCACACACTCAAATGTCTCTGCCATATCATACAAGGAGAGAAGTCCTTGGTTTTTGCTTCTCAAGTAGTTTGGGTCCCAGTGTAATCATGAAATGTTTCAATAGTTTTTGTAAATATGTGCTTACAGACATAGGTACAGAATGTTCAGTGCACAGTATTATCTTGAAACCAACTGACTCTGAAGGAAGATTTTAAGCACCATCCTCATGACATCCATGGTTAGCATTACAACATAATCACTATAATATCCTATATTCATTTCCTAATAATACTAAAAAAAAAATCACTTTGGAGGAAGAAAATATCTATGGTTGGCAAAAAGCTAGATGTACCATCATCATAATAAAATACTATCCCTTTATTAAAAGAATATATATATCCCAAACAAATGTTTTAAATATACACTGTAAATTATACACTGTAAACGTGATTAAATGTTAAAAATCTTACCTGAAAATAGGACTTCATGATAATAGGATCTTACTTTATAGAAGACAAACCTATGCATTGCAGTACTTTGTAGAGTTAAAGGCTACTTATATGTTCTATTTATTTTCTTGGTTTTTTAGTTGCTCTCCCCACACCTCCTGCAAATCAAAAACAAGCATTCAGTAAGTTAAGAAAATCCTCCAGAAGTCAATGTAATATTTCAATTCAATGTCCTAGAACAGGAGTGCTCAACCTCCAACCCATGGGCCAAATTTGGCCCATGGAGGTATCACATCTGGTCCGCAGGGCTCTGGAAATTTGGTCAGGAAATTTGGTGGCAGGGGAGCGCTGGCCATTAATATGATCACTCTTTCTCCTGCCAAATTCCTGAACCCCAAGCCCCACCAACTGGGGCTGAGCCAGGCTGTGACCCCTTCCCCTGTGGGCTGGGCCATGTACCCCCCCAACCCCTCACTTCTGGATTGGGGCCAGACCATGTCTCCTTTTCCCTCATGGGGCCAGAGTGGGATGGGCCTGGACACCTTTCCCTTTCCCCTTCCCCCCACCCCCATGGGGCTTGGATAGGCTGGGCTGTGCCCCCTTCCCTCCCATTCGGTCTGGGTCATGCCCCCTTCCCCTGTGGGGCTGGGTTGGGGCCTGGCCACCCCCGCCCCTTCCCTCTCCATGGGACCAAGCCAAGCTCCTTTCCCTTGCAGGTCCGCATTGGGACCAGCCTGCCCACTGCGCCCTTCCATGCAGCCAGATGGTGCCTGCCAAGCTCGTCCAGGTGCTTGATCAGGAACATCAGCTAGATCTGGCCTGCAGACAGACCAGGCACTGCCAGTCCAGCCCATTGGCTAAAAGGCTGAGCACCACTGTCATAGAATATAAGGAAAGAATCTAGACACAGAAATCTTGAACTCTATGACATTGATTGATTAATTATAATGAAAAAAATAGATCAGCTTAGCATAGATCCTATCATCCGAGTTAAACTCATGTGAAAAGAGAATCAAAATATCAGGATGCAAAAGTTAAGGCAAATTCTGAATTTGACATTTCATTATTTAAATAATTCTTAGGATGAGAAATTTAAGGGATAATCTTGTAAATCATAATTGCCTGGAGCTCTCAATTTAGAATGAATTTAGTTATTATCAGGGACATAATAAAAAACATTTAAAACCATACGTAGTAAATAATGAGTTCTTTCACCAATTTAGAGCTGTAAATCAATTACTTTTTATCCTCAGAGCGAGATATGGAAGTCAAATTGTACTTTGAACAATATTCTTTCTAGTCATGACTTTTTCATGAATAGCCAGACAAAAATATGGGGTAATATCTATTTTTAAAAATATTTGACTGGTATTTGTTTAGGTTATTCTCCTTCAACATAAAACTACATGATGATTCATAATGTAACCCTGGGCGTGACACTACACGCGCCCTCACCTGAATAGTGGGATCCTGGGGTACCTAGTAGCCAGTAGCCCTGCCCAGCCCCCCTGGGAAGCTGCTGCAGTGCCCCCAAGTGGAGAGCCTCCCCTTACAATCAAGCACCCTTGCAGACAATTCTCAAACTATTTACAAGATTTAATTATTTACAACGTAATAAATAATCATTAAATAAGCACATGGATATACCGACTAAGAAACCCTCAAGAACTTATTTACACAGTCTCTCACTTGCACACGGTGTACTAGGGATCCTGTGTGCACTGCCCCTGGCAGGGTATCTCAGGGAGTGGGACTGTATGTGTCCCTGCACTTGGTTTGTGGACGCTCCCTGGCACTGGCATCCGTCTCCGTGCTCCTGGGATCTCCGGGCAGCAAGCGGCAACTCCTCTGCAGTTCCTGCAAGACAGCTTTCCCCTGCCTTTGACCGCTTCCCCCGCTCTGCTGGGAGCAGTGTCTGGGCTGCAGGCTGTAGCAACCCTACTGTCCTGCACAGCCTCACAGCTCCGCCAAACGCAGCCTCTCCCTGGGCTTTGCCTGCCCTTGGGGCCCCTCAACCATCAGGGAAACTAGGGCAGACTCCGGCAGTTCCCCACCCCCCGGCTCTACTGTGCTCACCCAGCCACATCGGGCTGCAGTCAGGTCTTCGCAGACTTGGAGTCTCCAAACAAGCAGTCCTGCCTAATTCTGCCGCCACAGCCTCCTGGGCCGGAGAGAACTGGAAACTGTCACTCCCGTTTCAGCCTCTGCTGCAGCTTCAGCAGAGCACTCCCAGGGGCTCTCCAAGGGACCACTGTGTTGAGATTTTAAATCCGGTCTCCAGCCTGTCCCTCAGCCCCTCTCTCTTGTTCTCTCCCACGGGAAAACTGATCCCCCACTTTTATCCAAGCCTCTCAGCCAAGACCAGGGCCCTTCCCGGACTTTTGCTAACGGCTCTATTTCAAAACTTTGCTGGGGTTACATCACCCCTCCCACTTCCAACAGGGCTGCTTCCAAAAGAGCTTCACTTGCCCTCAGAGCCTACAGTGTCCCCTCTGGGACAAACTCTGCCTCTCTGCCAGGCAGCCCTTCCCATTCTGTTCAGGTGGGTCGATTTTTTAAATGCTGCTACAATACCTTTTATGTTGCACAGATAGATTTTAAAATCACCTTTCAAAACAAATTGGGTAGAAGTCTTTTTTTGTTGTTGTTGTTGTTCAGGTCCACAGAATTCTACCATTAAGTGTTCACATTTCAATACCTTCAGCTACTTCTTGGTGTCCAGATGAGTGGGTTTGCAAAATAAAGATAAATGACATTGGACTCGGTTTAGCACTTCTTTACTGGAAGGGACCTACTTCTAGACTTCAGTTCTGAACATACTATTACGAGAACTACACTCCTGCAGCTGATATTCACGTGACATGTAGACAGCCAGTAAGATTATCGTGTTATTTTTAAAACTGCTCATGTCAAACGCAACATCTTTGAAGGTTATATTGTTTTAATACTAGCGATGACTTGAATAAAATGTATGAGGCCACTATATTGTTCTAATTATCAAGGTGTGCGTCTTCTGTGGCTCTAATTGGAGAAAATGGGGTAAGTCACACCTAACCATTTTAGAAAAATAGCAAGTTACACCAAAAGCAGACAATTATGTGCTCCTTCAAGGACCGGTATTAATGACACTTACATATATTAACGCTCTTTTTCTGATTGCTACACATACAATATACATATAATAGCTTTCAAAACAGGAATGAGTTTAACAGCTGCTTGCATTTGGTCAGCTGAAATTTACTGTGGGGTCATTGTGACGATGAGATTTTGGTCATCTGTCTTTTATGTGCAGGAGTCTTCTTCACTTTACCATGTTGGATGATTTTTATAATTGAATATGTCAAACTATATTTCCAACAACATGTTGAATACCATTCCAGAGCTGACAAGTATGAACAGTAAAATGGTTGCTATATTTTCAGCAGCATTAGATGTGATACAGAGCTGTGGAGAGGAGATGATCAGTGGCATACCAGAATTGTTACCTCTCTTCTAGAAGAAAGTTTTATTATCTCTCCCAGGTTTCCAGATTGCTTTTCTATTATATATTTATCTTCTACACTTCTACTGACTGTCTACCTGTTTCAGCTGATAAGTGCCAGCTGTCTCAAATTCTTTGTGATGCCCAATAGAGAGCAATAGACTCTTTCACATTTGAGTCTATTGCTGTGGTTACTAGCAGTGTGTTGTATTTTGTGAAAAGAAAGTCTGGAGCAGGCATTGTCTCTTCCTTATACGGAACACTGACCGCCATAAAACCACACCCGGAGGCTACTTACTATTCACATTTATTACACAAGTTGAAATTCACAGTATCTTGTTTTCGAGTAATTTTTGAGCAGCTCTTATGCCAAGGAGAATGATGTTTACATACCAGAGTCTTTAATCAGAAACATCACTATATGTTAGATACCAACTCAGGAAACAAAACATACCATATAAAACAAAATACTAAATGCTTTCTTTTTTAATGGAAATTTTCTGAGATTTCATCATCTTTTTCAGATTCCGTTTTATTAGTCACCTGGGGCCTATGAGTAGTGTATTCTACACATCAGCATGAAAACATGTATGTAAAAAATAACTGTGGGCCTGATTCTGCTGCTTTTATTTCTATTGCGTGGTATATTATTCTACAAGTAGTTCCATTATTTGTCTTACAATACAAAAATTAAATTAACTTTATGATCAGTGATTCTATTCCAAACTGAAAGTCACTGGAATCGTTACATATACATACGTAAGATGCTACTTTCAGGTTCATAGTTAAAGGCTGAGTTTTGTAGTGAAATCACTTCAGTGCCTTGGTTATATAAACCCTAAGAGTATCTCCTGTCTAAAACTACAAACTTACTCATTAAAGATGGAATGACTTTATTCTGAAAATTAGTTTTAAGAGTTAAAATTAATTTTAAATTAAGAAGTTATCATTCAGAGTCATACTCCTTTTGACTCTTAATAATCTTAACTACAGAACATAATAAAGTTTTAAAAATTCACATTTACTTTAAACTTCATGAAACCTTGTGTGTATGCAACATATGCAAAGCTTTTTTTCAAGATTAAAGGTAACTATTTCCCTGTTCTACATTGGAACTGAAAGTTTCTTCTGCAGAGGATGAAGAATATTATTCACTTATTGAAAATTCCATGAAGTATTGCAGTCTTTCTATAAATGGTTTTGATTCCTGTTGCTCCACATGAGACTGAGTATTTTTCTTTGATGTCACAGGGATACTATCTTCTCTGGGAACAATGGGAGGTGATAGCCACTTTGAAGGACAGCATGGTTTCATGGATTTCTCCACAGAGGTATATAATTATCTATAGGATTATAGTTAACTATTATCTTTTCCCTGTGCTCATGTTACTCAAATTGCCAACTGCTCAAATCACAAGCGAGACTTTATAAAGGGGGATAAGGCAATGTGCCGCGTTTATTGATCACATGAGTTAGACATAGAGGTTTGGGAAGACCATTCATACAAACACACAAATCATCATACACATCATTACACACAGGCATACACATACACAAAACAACCATTTCATCTACACATACACCAGATAGTTACCAGTAATAGTTGCTCAATTTCAGCCCAGGGTGGCCAACCCGGGCTTATTGAGTAGATGATGATGATTTGAAGATATCAGATTTGAAGATAACAGCTGGAGCGGGGTGAACAGATGCATCTGTGCTCCAATGAAACAGCAGTAGAGAAAGAGACTCACTGAACTTGGCATTTTCAAAGTGTTCATTTATAGTTCTTTTTAAGTGTTCTTATCAAAGAGTACTGTCCAGAGAGGGATGACAAAAGCAAGTACCAGAGTTAGTGTTAGGGTATAAGGTGAGGTATAGCTTCACTAGCGTGAATGAGACAGAAGGCATGGGAGAGATGCACCCTACAGAACAAATGAATCCGAGATGTGTGAGCTTTTGTGAGTTTCCACTGATGTCACAATGAACCTCTGCCTACAGTTCCACATAAATTCTATTTAACTGATAACAAAATTATGAGGAAGAGAGGATTGGCAGAGGTGACTTATAAACACGAAATGTAGGTTAGTGGCAACAGCCTATAAAATTGTAACAGGTTTGTGGTATGCCTGTTCTCTCTCTCTCTTTCTCTCACACACGTGTATACACACATGCATGCACACACATACACACAGAAATTTATAGATGTAGATCTACAGTAATTTAACTCAGTATCTCGGAATCCGTTTGTCTAGAAGGTGTACTTCTACACTGTCAGCTATCTAAATATGCACATTGTAGAAAAGAATGACAAACCTAATTGCAGCCCCAACTTTACTGCAGCCACTTGAGAGAGAACAGGTCTAGGCTCCCTGCTAAGACAAGCAGACATGCATGAGGTGGTATGCAGCAACATTCTACAACAGGTTAGAAGAGGAACTGAAACATTTTATATGCAAGTGAAATTGCATGAAATATTCAAGCAAACAAAATGGATTGACTCAGTATGTGACTTAATCAGGCTACTAGAGCGAATACCCATGTACTTGCACCTCCCCACCCCAAACTGCAGGATTGTTCATGCCCCTTAAGTAGTGAGTACCTCAGGTTTTTGTCTAATAACACTTCCGTATGTTTGCCCCATAACACAGACTCTTGCTGCAGCTCTGGACTGGGATTTGAGGATGTACAACAAGCAACTTGCTAGGTCCTTACCACGCTTGTTGCAGATAGAATGAATAACAGGACATCCCAATCACCTTCAATGGATGGCAGACAAGGCTATACTATACTGTTCCTGAAAATCACAAGTTGTATCATGACATATTACATAATGACAGTTTGCTCTTCTGAATGTACAGAAAACCACCAAATCTCTAGGAAAAAGACTCTATTCTGGTGTTTACTAATTGGTCACTGCCCCAAAAGTTTGTGAGGCTATGTCTGTGCAGTTTATTCAATGACTATTTAATGCAAAATATAGAAATGGTACTGGCAACTGGGAGCAAGGACCAGAAATCTCTCTATCCCAGAAAAATGCACACTTCACTGGGCTACTCATGTTCCTAGTGGCTTGTTTGCTGACCCCAT